TGGGGGTTAGAGGGGGAGGGGAGGGAAGGAGGGGGGGAGGAGGGGAGAAGAAGAAGGGGGGGGTAAGGCCTGGGAGGAAGGAGGTGGGGGTAGAGGGGAGGGGAGGGAAGGAGGGGGGGAGGAGGGGAGAAGAAGAAGAAGAAGAAGGGGGGGGGTAAGGCCTGGGAGGAAGGAGGTGGGGGTAGAGGGGGAGGGGGGAGGGAGAGGGGGGGTGTTAGGTGTTTCTTATTTATAATTCTTGCTTCTTGAACGAGAGAAAGAGTAATTTCGTCCTTATTACGTCGCGTTAGAAGGTCGATAATCTCTAGTGGAAACCGAGTCTGTGGATTTATGTGTTTTAATTCTTTTCGTCTCAATTTTTTTTTTCTTTTTCTTTTTTCTTTTTTTTGGTGTATATATAAATGGCAATGTTTAGAATATGATTGTGCATTTGTTGATCGCAAACTTTTCATTTTCATTTTTTTTTCAATATCACGTTTTATGCAAATCTATTTCCTATCGGTGTATATTTCCTGTCTGAAGAATATTCATTTTTGTTTTTCTTTTTTTTCTTCTTCGTCTACTACTACTCCTTCTTATTATCGTTATTATTATCATCATAATTATTTTTCTTCTTTTTCCTTGCCTTTTTCTTCTCCTTCTTCTTCTTCTTCTGGTCCTTCTTTCTTCTTCTTCATTTTCTTCTTCTCCTTCTCCTTCTCGTCCGTCTTTCTTCCCCTCCTCCTTCTTCTTCTTCTCCTCCTCCTCCTCCTCCTCCTCCTCCTCCTCCTCCTCCTCCTCCTCCTCCTCCTCCTCCTCCTCCTCCTCCTCCTCCTCCTCCTCTCCTCTTCTCCTCCTCCTCTTCCTCTTCTCCTCCTCCTCCTCCTCCTCCTCCTCCTCCTCCTCCTCTTTCTCCTCCTCCTCCTCCTCCTCCACCTCCTCCTCCTTCTCCTCTTTCTTCTCCTCCTCCTCCTCCTCCTCCTCCTCCTCCTCCTCCTCCTCCTCCTCCTCCTCCTCCTCCTCCTCCTTCTCCTCCTCCTCCTCTTTCTCCTCCTCCTCCTCCTTCATCTCCTCCTCCTCCTCCTCCTTTCTCCTCCTCCTCCTCTTTCTCCTCCTCCTCCTCTTCTCCTCCTCCTCCTCCTTTCTCCTCCTCTTTCTCCTCCTCCTCCTCCTTATTTGGACTTTTGACGGAAATTTGTCACAGGATATTTCGGTTTGACCTCCTCGCCTCCTCTGAAATCTGAATTGTATTTTTACACTTTTATCTGATCACAATTAACTACATGCACGCGTCCAAGGTTTGTTTCATAATGTTTCGTTCCGTCTTGCGTGTTTTTCGTTGCTTATTTTGTTGTGTGAGTGTGTTTTCTTTTTTTTTTTTTTTTTTTTTTTTATAAATTGGTCAGTGTGTTGTTATTATTGTTGTTTTTTTATTATTATTATCGCTATTATTATTGTTATCATCATCATCCTCACTCTCAACCTCACCCTCCTCCTCCTCCTCCTTCTTCTTCTTCTATCCTCCTCCTCCTCCTCCTCCTCCTATCCTCCTCCTCCTCCTCTTCCTCCTATCCTCTTCCTATCCTCCTATTCTCCTCCTATCTTCCTCCTATCCTGCTGTCCTCCTTATATCCTCGTATCCCCCTCCTTCTCCTCTTCCTCCTCTTCCTCCTATCTTCCTATCCTCCTCATTATTTATCCCAAAGCAAAAAAATCTTCCTCCTCCACCGCTCCAGAAAACGTCCATTTTCTCCACTTTCTAGTCCGCATGTCAGCGTCTTTACTCATTTGCATATATCTGTGCTAATGCGGTAGAATCCTGCAAATTTATGAAGGCAAGGATATCGTAATAGTGGCGTCGTGATATAAGTACTCTTGGTGCGTGATACTTAGAGAGGGATTATATTTTGCTTTTTTTTTTTTTTTTTTTGTTTATGGTGTGGATATTGAAGTGCGTTCGTGTTTGTTTTTTGGTTTTGGTTTTGTTTTTGTTTGGGATGAATGTCGTCTTGAGTGAAATTGTGTTTATATTTATTTCATTTTATTTATTTATCATTGTTATTATTTTTATTATTATTATTATTATTATTATTATTATTATTATTTTTTTTTTATTATCATTATTATCATTATTATTTTTATTATTATTATCATTATTATTATTTTTACTTACTGTTCCTTTTCTCCTTTTAACTGTTATTCTAACTTGCCGCCTTTTCTTTATTTTCTCATACGCTTGTTCATCTTCTTTATTTCTTCTCTTTCTTTTCTTCTCCTTTTCCACATTCTTCTTCTTCGTCTTCTTCTTCTTTTTTTTCTTCTTCTTTTTCTTCGTCTTCTTCTTCTTCTTCTTCTTCCTCCCCTCCCTCTACCCCTCTCCCCTCTTCCCTCCTCCCTCCTCCCCACCCCACTCTCCCTCCTCCCTCCCCCCTCCCTCCTCCCTCTCCCCTCTCCCCTCCTCCCTTCCTCCCTTCCTCTCTCCCTCCTCCCACCCCCCACCCCCACCCCCCACCCCCCACCCCCACCCACCCCAACACACAAACACAAATGGAAAAAAATTAAAAACCCCAAAGTTACAAATTTAATCCCGAATCACCGCCCCGCCGACAAACGAGGAACGTCCACACCGCCATAAATCACCGCTATTAATGCTAATTGCTTTGTCATCAAGGTCTCCTAATTACCGCTGAGTGATGAACAGCCTTCCACAGTATGAACTGGACTGCTTCCATTAACAGCAATTATGCCAATCGTTTTCTACAACTACAACAGGAAATCATTTTATAGGGTCCTTTTCTCTTATTTTTATTTCTCTGTCTTTCTCTCGTTTCATTATTATTTTATCATTTTATAGGGTCCTTTTCTCTTATTTTTATCTCTCTGTCTTTCTCTCGTTTCGTTATTATTTTATAATTTTATAGGGTTCTTTTCTCTTATTTTTATTTCTCTGTCTTTCTCTCGTTTCGTTATTATTTTATCATTTTATAGGGTCCTTTTCTCTTATTTCGTTTTTTCTTTCTCTCTCTCTCTTTCCCTCGTTTCTTTATTATATGTTAATTTCTATTGTTATTATGATTTTATTTTTTATTTTTATTTTATTTTATTCTTTCTTTATTTTTTTTTTGGGGGGGGGAGGGGAGGGGGTGGAAATTTTTGTGTTTTGTTATGTTTTTTTTGTTCTATTTGTATCGTTATTTACTTATTTGTTGTTTTTGTTTTTTTATTTACTATTATTTTCATTCGTTGATTGATTTGCTCATTATTCTCATTTATTCATTTTTGTGTTTGTTTGTCAAAATTATTATCAGCGTTATTATTCTTATTCTTATTATTATTATTATTATTATTATTATTATTATTATTATCATTATTATTATTATTATTATTACTATAATTATTATTATTATTATTTCTACTATTATTATCATCATCATCATCATTTGCTTTATTCCCCTTTCGTCTTCCTAAATATCTCCCCTTCCTCTCCCCCTTCCTTCCCCCCCTTATCTCTTCGTTGGAGTCAAGTGCCTTTTTTTTCAAAGGTTTTGGTTAATTTCTCGTCTTTTCTGAATTTCTGTCATGTCTGTCTCTTTGCATTTCGAGTTTATGTTTATCACGTGAAATTGATACTGTTGGTGGTGATATTCTGGGTATATTGGTGTTGTTGATTAATATTATTATTATTATTATTCGTTGTAGGTGTAGTAATACCGTTATTTTTTTTGTCATTATCTTTGTTGTTATTGTTAATAATATCATCATTAGCATTATTGTTGTTAATATATTCGTTTTATTATTATTAATGTAATTATATGTTGTTTTGTGTTTCATCGTTCACCTTAATTCTTTCTGTCATATAGTTCTTCACGTTCCTTTGTGATTTTCTATTCTATTTTTCTCCTCTTTCTTCGCATGCTCCCCCCCCCCACCTTCCTCCTCCTCCTCCTCTTGCTCCCTTGACACCTTTCTCTTCCTCTCTCTCTCTTCCTCTCCGTCATTTTCTTCCTCTCGTCCTTTTCTTTCTTCTTCTCTCTCATTCCTCCCCTCCTTTTCCTTCCTGCTACCCCTTCTCCTTCTTCTCTCTCCTCCTTCTCCCCATCCCTTCTCCTTCCTCACCTCCTTCTTCCTTCTCCACCCCACCACTTCCTTCTCCTTACTCTTCTTTCTCCCCCTGCCTCTGTTTCTCCTCTCTCACCTCCTCCTCCCTCGCCTCCTCCTCCCCTCCTCCCCCTCCTCCTTCCTCGCCTCCTCCTCCCCTCCTCCCCCTCCTCCTCCCTCGCCTCCTCCTCCCTCGCCTCCCCCTCCCCCCAACCCCTCCTTTCCTCACAGAAGTAAACCATCTTCCTCATTAAGCGTGAAGGGCGAACCTCACTCAGGAGGGAGATAGCGCTCACTCACTCACCGCTATTCTAAGAACATACACGCTTAGCCTTGAGTGGTCTTGTCAGGGAAAACGTTTTAATGTGTACCTGTGTAAGATATCTTCCGGGGTGGCATTCATTCAAGTTTCCCCTCCTCCCCTTCCCCCTCTCCTTCATGCTTTCCCCCTCCCTCCTCCCTCTCCCTCTCTCTTTCATGCTCCCCCCTCCTCCCTCCTCCCTCTCCTCTGTCTCTCATCCTTTCCCCCTTCCCTCTTCTCCCCCCTCGCTTCCTCCAACCTTCTCCCTTCTTTCCCTCCCTGCCTCCGTTTTCTTCCCTCGTCTTCCCCTCCTTCCTTCTTCTGTCTCCCCCTCCCTTGCCTTCCCTTCCCTTCTCCTCCTCCTCCTCGCCTGTGTCTTTCTCTATCGTCTAGTTCTCGTCTCTTCGCATTTTTTCTGCTGTCAGAAATGATGTTTCGTCGGCGTTTCCATTGTCTTACTTCATCATTTGAGTTAATTATGATAGTGATATAACGATGCGGCATCTCATAAACGAACTTGCGAGGTATTTTTACCTTTTTTTCTTTTCCCTTTTTTTTTATCTGTTTGATCCTGAGAAAATAAGCACCGCGATCCCTAACCGCCCTTCCGTCTCCCCCGCAGGACCGCCAGGGGAACGTGCTGCACAGCTGGCACATGATGAGCACCGACGAGGAGACGCTGGTGCTGCGTCAGTTCCTGCGCTTCGGCGAGACGCGCGCCATCGCCCAGCAGCTCCTCCAGCACGAGGGGGCGTCGCCGCGCCCCGACCACACGCCCTCCATCAGGGACTCGCACAGGGACACGCTCAGAGACTCTCACAGGGACTCCATGAGGGACTCCCACAGGGACAGCCTGCGAGATTCTCACAGGGACGTCCTGAGGGACACACACACTCTCAGAGACTCCCACAGGGACGCGTTCCGCGACTCCCACAGAGAGATGCACCGCGACGCCCTTCAGCGCGATGGCCACCGGGACGCGAGGGACATGCGCGACAGGGACCTCCTGAGGGACTTCCGGGAGGACATCCGGCGGGAGGAGAGCCGCAGGGACGAGCCCCCCCGCTCGCAGCACCAGCAGCCGCACCTGCACCCGGCGCAGCACCACCCCCACCAGCCGCAGCCGCAGTCGGAGATGGGCAAGAGCATCGACTCCGACCTGAAGAAGTTCCTGGAGCGGACCAACATGCTGTTCAACCCGTTCATGCGCGGCGACCCGAGCTCCCTCCTGCGGCCCCCGCCCCCGACGGGCCCCGCAGGCCTCCCGCCCGCGCCGCCGCCCCTGTCGGCCGCGTCGCTGGCGTCCAACCTCCTGGCGGCCGCCAACCCCTCCCTGGCCACCTCGCTGCTGGCCAACCCGCAGCTGGCGTCGTCGGCGCTGTCCATGCTGCGCCTCCCGGTCCCGCCCGTCTCGCTCCCCAACCTCTCCCCCAACAACGGATCTCTGCCCAACAGCTTCGGCTCCCCCACTAGTCCCATGGACGGCTCCCCCCTCAACCGCCTGCAGAGCATGCAGCCCTTCGACTTCCGCAAGGAGCCGCAGAGTCCGAGTCCCGCCTCGCGCCCCGAGCCCTCCTTCACGCACGGCGGCCGCGGCGGCGGCGTCACTAGCCCGGCCAGTAGCGGCGGCGGCGGCAGCGGCGGCGGCGGCGCGCCGGTGAGCGTGAGCAGCGGCAGCGTGACGCCCCTCGCTGCCACCGCCACCCACCAGCCCCCGCCGACGCCCGTGTCCGTCAACAGCGACCCCCCGACGGACTACACCAGCGAGGACGACGACATCGCGATCGCCGCCTCCACCACGGCCCTCAACCTCTCCACCACCTCCACCACGGTCGCTACCTCCGCCACCCCGACCACGTTACCCATGCCCCCGAGGCCGCACTCCCCCGGGGGCGGACCCAGCACGCCGGGGAAGAGGTCGTGGAACCCCATCAACCTCGGGACGTCGCTGATCAACCCCGTGACGGGCAAGAAGCGCGTGCAGTGCAACGTCTGCCTCAAGACCTTCTGCGACAAGGGCGCTCTCAAGATCCACTTCTCCGCCGTGCACCTGCGCGAGATGCACAAGTGCACCGTCGAGGGCTGCAACATGATGTTCAGCTCGCGGCGCTCGAGGAACCGCCACTCGGCCAACCCGAACCCCAAGCTGCACACGCCGCACGTCCGCCGCAAGATCTCCCCGCACGACGGCCGGACGTCCAGCGGCCACCCAGTCATGATGGCCCACGGGTTCCAGCCGCAGCAGTTCCAGCCGCCCGCTGGCTTCCCGCCCCTGAGCTCCTTCCCCGGCCAGTTCAGCGGAATCAACCCGCTCACCGGCCTGCCCTTCATCCCCCCCTCGGCGGCGGCCACGGAGGACCTCCACAAGCAGGCCCTGGAGCTGCAGCGACGCACGCTGGAGATGCAGCACGCCATGGGCAAGTCCTCCCTGGACCTGAGCATGCGCGGCAGGGAGGACGGCATGTGGAGGAGCGACTACGGCGGCTTCCACGGCTCCTCCGGCCAGAGCGAGGACGGCCCGATGGACAGCAGTCTGGACGGCAAGAGGAAGGACGACGAGTTCGACGCCAACAACAGCCTCGACGGCGACATGGACGACGACAGCATGAGCGTCGACGCCCACAGCATGAAGGGGGAGAACCCGTCGGCGTCGCCCTCCAACAACAAGCGGAAACGCAAGAGCCAAAACCCGACCAAGTTCGCCTTCAGATTAGAGGACGACGACCTCATATCCACCGACGACGACGACGACGACGACAACGACGACGACCTGGACGACATCGACGCGAAGGATTCCGAGGAAGATAAGAATGAGGACAAGGAGCTCGACGCCATGAGCGACGACGACGACGACGACGGGGCGCTGAAGGAGGGCTCCTCCACGCACTCCGACAAGGCAAAAAACGACAAGGACTCGGACGGGAGCAACCGCAAGGTCTCCTCCAGCAGCTACGACGAGGCCGTGGACACGTCGAACGCCCTGCGGCACCTGGAGGACCTGTCCAAGGGTCACTTCGCACACCTCACTGGCACGATGCCCCCAAACGCATCGGCGTCACTTGGCCTCCCGATGGCGCCCTCGGGCAACGGCGTCACCTCTTCGAGTCCCAGGCCAAGTGACCGTGACAGCGATAGGGACTCCAACCCCGGCTCGCCCTCGGAGGACTCGGACGGCGCCTTCCACTTCGGCGAGGGCGGCTTCCTCAGCAGCCTCGACATCCCCATGGACAAGGAGAACCCGCGGCGCTGCATAGCGTGCGGGAAGATTTTCCAGAACCACTTCGGCGTCAAGACGCACTACCAGAATGTGCACCTGAAGCTCATGCACAAGTGCACGGTGGAGGGCTGCAACGCCGCCTTCCCCTCCAAGCGTAGCCGCGACCGCCATTCCTCCAACCTCAACCTGCACAGGAAGCTCCTCTCCACCTCGTCCGACGCGCCAGGCTTCCCCGGCATGGGCTTCCCCGGCCTGCCGTTCAACCCCGCCCTCAACCCCGAGCTGCTGGCGCGCCTCTACTCCGACCCGGCCGGCCTCCCCCTCGGCCTGGACGCGCTCAAGGCCCACATCCCCACCTCGCTCGCCGAGTCCTTGTTCAACGGTGACCGCGGCGGCAGCGGCGGCGGCAACGGAGGCGGCGGGGGCGTGAGCGGGGGCGGCGGCCTGCCCCCGGCCACCCACCCTCCCCCCCACTTCTTCCTTCCGAACCTCCTCCCGCACTTCGCCGCCAACAACAACCTCCCCGGCACCGAACGGAAAGACCGCTCCAGCACCCCGTCGCCGCAGTCCACCACCCCCACCACCACCGCCCCCACCGTCACGGGCCCCACCCCCGCCTCCGAGGCCCCCTCCTCCTCGCCGCCGCCCTCCGAGGTCGTCGCCGCGACCACCACCACCACCACGACCTCCGAGGCCCTGGAGCAGGACTGGGTGTACAACCTGGAGGACGACCTCCCGTCCCCCGACCGCGACGGGAACATGCCCTGCAGGTTCTGCCACAAGGTCTTCGAGGACGGCGTGGGCCTCAAGAGTCACTACGAGGAGGTGCACGCCTCGGAGCTGTTCCGCTGCACGGTGGAAGGCTGCAACAAACTTTTCAGCGCTCGCCGGAAGCGCAACGCCCATTCCCTCAACGAAGCCTACCACAAGGACCTGTTAGAGGGGGCGCCGACGAAGGACACGTGATGACGACGCCCTTCCCAGTCGGGGTGACGGGCTCCCGAGGAGCTCGTCCTCCTCTGTATAAATGTATAAATGTGCCAATGTTTCACGTCTTATTTATACGTAGTGGTGTTAGAGTGCCCAGTGTCGCCCGCGTGTACATAGTAGTGGCTCCAGCTGCCAGGACTTCGGCTGCCTCAGTGTAGAGTAGTGGCTCAACCCTGGCTTGTGTAGTGCGCCGCGGAGAGGCCGGGAGGGACGGCGAGTGCCCGGGGGAACCATGCTCGGGAGCGACCCTCAAGTGTGTCCCAGTGCCGGGAGTGCCACTGACTCTTTAGTGAACAGAAGCGTTAACGGCCCCCCCCCCTTGGGCACGACTATTCCTTGGCAGTGATACCAGTGACGCGTTTGCCGACGCTACCCTTGCGTGTCGAGGCCCGAGAGCAGGGGCCCGCGCGCCCGGCTGGGGCCATGAGCCAACTTATCGCTGGAGGACTTAGAGCTGCATTAATGTTCTCAGGATTCTTTGTGAATCGTTTTGCATACCAATCATTGGTATAAAGAGTCAGTGTTCAATTTCCTTGTGTCTTGTATTAACATTTTTTTGGTTATAGCTGCTGTAAATGTCAGTTTTATACTGTGACTCAGTCTGTCATTTGTGTAAATGGTGCTATATTTTAGTTGGCACAACCATGTCTCCATTTACGTACAACTTTGGTTAATAAGTTAATTTTGTGTGATTGTAAAGTCGGCGTCTTCCACTATCTTCATTTATGGCGTTTTTTCGAGCTGGCGAGGGATCTCCGTTCCTGCAGGAGCCCGCGGGGCCTCTCGCCACGCTCCTGTAGGGACACCCCGCCCCCCGCGACAGGAGGCGGCGGAAGGCGCTCGCGAGGCGCCCTTCGTCTCACGGGAGATACCTAGAGGGAGGGCGCCGCCGAAGGGAGCTCGACCTTTGCCCCCTTTAGGTGTTCACGGGCCTCCTCGCAAGGGCGCCCGCGGGGGCAGGCGCGGCCGCGGGGCGAAGCCAGGACTCTCGGAAGCCGCTGTTTCGACGAGAGGAGAGTTCCCTAGTCTATTCCTCGACCTCCCGCGGGAGTCCGGGACGATCTCCGACCTGAAGGTTTCCTTTGGCTCCCCCCCCCCTCCCGCGGCGTCCGCGTTGGGGCGACGTCGCGCAGGAGGGCGAGAGAGAGAGAGAGAGAGAGAGAGAGAGAGAGAGAGAGAGAGAGAGAGAGAGAGAGAGAGAGAGAGAGAGAGAGAGAGAGAGAGAGAGAGAGAGAGAGAGAGATCCGTCTTCTAACCAGGGAGAAGGGATGTCCCGCGCCCTCGGCCCGCCCTCCCCGCGTCCCTCTGCCCCTCGACCTTTGACCCTGACCTGTCGCTCTGGAAGAATCGCTGAAGTTTCACGCCCTCTCGCCAGCCGCTTACCTTCGGCATAATTTTTTGGTTTAATTTACTGTTCGGATGGTCTCTTTCACCCTCTTTTTACACTAGCGAAGAGATAGAGGTATGACAATCAACAGTGTGAAATTGCCAAAGAGTTTTTTTTTAATTATTAAAAAAAAAAGATATGCCTTCTCTTCACTGAAGTGCAGAACATTTGCGACATTTCTCCAGTTCAAAATTGGAGCGTTCGCGAAGAAAAAGGAAACAAACAAAAAATATTCTAAAAAAAATGATTTACAAAAAAAAAAAATTAAAAAAAAACAAAATAAAAAATACCATAAATAAGCGCCTCTAAACGAGATATACGTGAGGTAGGTAAATCTGTGTACTCTCTCTCTGTAGGGATCTAGCCAAACCCTGGTAGCTGTGTAACCGGACAAGATGCAGAAAAACTCCCTTCGTTTTTTCTTTGAAAAAATATCGTTAGTCCTTTTAGTCATAATATAAGGTCTTCTGTTTTATTTTTTATGAAAGGGTAACAATTCTTTCATAGTGGATAGACACCCGTATATCTATGACAATTCACGTACGCGCGAAATAAAGATAAATTATGTGAATCATGGATGATATAATAAAAAAAAATAATAGTAATAATATAAAGAAACATTTTTTTTTTTGAAGAATGATGAATTTCTCGTGACGCCGATGCTCACCACGGTCGGTTTCTACCAAGACGGTCGAAATTCCCTGAGGAACTAACCTGAGTTTCGGCCATCCTGATATCTGTGTCTGGTCCGGAGCCTCCTGCTCTTCCTCACTTTATCTAATGACCAGGGGGAACACAGTGCTACTACACACCCTTCACTTGTTACGCCATTGTCAGATCAGTGTCAAAGAGTGTTTCGTGAACCCTAATTTCCCCCTATACATATACGAATAAAAAAAATATTGAGACTACTAAATAAAGGGGGGAAATATACTTGAAATATATAAATATATATATATACACGCCGCCCACATCTGAAATCCTATTCAAATGAGCGGAATTCTGAAAAAATAAAATGAAGAAGAAAAAAAGAAAGAAAATATACAAAGAATAAATGAATAATATAATAATAACAATAATAATAATAATAAAAAACATCCACAGATACACAATGACAAACAAAAGGTTCATGAAATACTCCCTTCCCCCCCTCTCCCCCCCAAGTTTGGAAAGTAGTTAAAGGTTTGTACACTAAGTAACAAGTGAGGGGAGCGGGTCAGCTGTTTCCCCTCCAGTCATCACCACGTAAAAGGGCAGTCTGAGTGACCTGGTCAGTTCCTTGACCTGACCTGACCTGGGTCGCGGGATTGCCTCAATATTGTAATTAACTCATTATGATAATGACAATTAATAAATTTGTTGTTACCGTCTCGTGCTGATCTAGTTGTAATTGTTAATAAAATAAATATGGTTATATGTGCATCGACTTTCATTTGTGATTTTTTTTCCTTGGGTTGTTTGGTGCGAGAATTTTTTTTTTTGTGTGTGAATAATTCTTGTAAGTATCGTAAAGTCTGAACGAACTCTAAGAAAAATTATTATATGATTATAGTGACTTTTTTCATGTCAAGTCATTAAAAAAAGTCAATAGAAAAAAAGAAAAAAAAATCTGAAACATATTGATATTATATTTCCAAATGTGTGCAGAGAAAAATTGGTGATAAAGATGATGATAATAATAGAAAAACAAAATAGATAAACTACAAAACAGTAATATATATATATATATATATATATATATATATATATATATATATATATATATATATATATATATATATATATATATATGAATAAGTGAAAACTAAGGAGAATGAAGACGATATCCCACAGTTTAATAAATAAAAAAGAATATTGTATGAATAACCAGAGAAATATATCAAAGCTTAAACTCAACATATAGAATATATCGTACATTAGCAACAGAAAATACCTCATTAACATATAATACCATATAAAGCACATCTAATTATAATGATAAAAATGGGTTGGCAGGCCAGTTAAATAAAAGTAAAAAAAAAACAGTTACAAAAACAATGTGGTTTTCCTTGCAATGAAACACGAGTGAACAATTGACAATATAGTTTGCTAAGAATGAATAGAAAATGATAGTGACACTAATTGGGTAACTGGCATCCTGCAGAAGGTATTACATAACAACAACAACAAAAACAGGACAAGGAAAAGAAGTAAATTAATTATATGCAATGAAACCCAGACAAAGAGAAATAAAAATTGTGATATTAACCAAAAGATAAAATACAGTCTTCGCTAAAAATACACACTGCATTAGATATAAATTGCATATGACATATACAATTCAGTATACGATAAGAATAAAAAAAAACTATTTTGAGATTAGAATCAAAATGATGAAAGGTGACAGTAAAAGAAAAAAATAATGAGATAAAGAATAAAGATATAAACCAAGACAATAATTATGATGATATGATTTAAGTTGTGAATACAAACATGATAAGAATAAGAAACATACAATATTTATTGATATTACTGATAATGATACTATA